GTAGAAAGAAATACCAGAATTTTCCAAGGACACAAACTTCAAATATCAGCACTCTTCTACAAGTCTACATCTTTGGCAACATTCTGGGCCCCAAACCACAAGGTGTTCTCGGGCATATCAGGGAACTCCTTCCTCAGCCAATGGGAAAACATACTCAACCACCAACCACAAAAGGCACAAAGACCAAACAACTGGTTGCCACCACCAAAAGGCACCATCAAGCTCAATTTTGATGGATGTTCTCTAGGGAACCCCAGCCCATCAGGCGCTGGGGGCGCCTTTAGAGATCATCATCGCAATATTCTCATACCTACTCTGAGCATCTAGGCCATAAAGATTCTCATTACGTTGAAGCCATGGCCCTACTACTGGATCTGAAAAGCTTCAACCGATCCTGGGGGCCACACCTGTTAGTGGAGGGAGACGCACAAAATATTATTTCTTGGCCAACCAGGACGACACCACCTCCATGGTACTTAGCTTCAATTTTTGATGAAATTGCTCACGTTTGCAAGGATATGTCGTCTCATGGAAGCATATCTGGAGGACATCCAATGAACTCGCCGATCTCATGGCGAAAGACGGGGCTAGAATCCAAGTAGAAGACCATGCCCTATCCACCTCCTTTTTTGCTCTGGACCACAAGCACACAGCATAGAATTTCATTTGCATTTGGGTAAACCTATAAGCCCAATTTTTTGAGAACTGCATGTAAATCATTCTAATCGGGCAGGTTCTATAAGCCCATTTTTTGTACAGGGTTGGATGACCCATTTTTTACCGAGAGACCCACCTTGAGGGTGCTCACGGACTACCATACCTCTGTAATCTAACACGTCATACCTATACAATGTTAACTTTGTCAAAAAATAAAAATATCCCTATACATCATTTACAAGAAGCTAGTAATATGTGATGCATAACCATCTGTTTTGGTTTTAAACAAATGCCACTGTTTGAGATGGACTATTGATGGTCTTAGTAGTTGTTAGATTCTTATTCTAAACAAATGCCACTGCTTGAGATCGACTATGAAACATTGATTGTCTCGGTAGTTGTTAGTATCTTGCTCTAAACAGACATGTGTTATACAATATAGAATATATATACTCAGAAGAAACCAAAATAAATGAAAAGGCCAATGGGACTAATAGAAGGTATAATATAATCAGTTAAAGCTACTGACAAAGCATTGACATAACAGAAGCTAGAAGAAACCAATATAAATGAAAAGGCCAATGGGACTTTAAATGAGTAACAGATATCCGAAAAGGAATTTTTCGGATTGCTGTAAAAAATCACAATAAGAAAGTTCACCTAAAAAACCATTGAAGTGGAAGTGAGAAACAACCATATACAGCATTCAATTGATTTTGTTTTTAATTGTTGCCACACTTCATTGCCTATTGTTTCAACGAAAAACACCAATGAGTGAATCCTCATCTATAAAGTTAATGCAGAGTTTTCAAATTAAACGTTCCCTACAAGGACAAGCACACTTTCCTTACCCCAAAAAAAAAGCACATTTTCCTCCTAACACAAGCACACTTTCCTTACTAAACCAAAAAAAAAGCACATTTTCCTCGTATAGGAATACATACTGGCTCTGCTTTATCTAACATGAAGGACAAATTAGCCTCATAATTTGAAGAAGAAAGGGAGTGCTGCTGACAACCCCACCATCACCCATCTCTTGTGTGACTAATAAAAATATTATTACTCAAATTATGATAGTAAACAACGACATTAACCGAAAAATATGAAAGTGTAACCAGAACTCCGCATATTTAACTCCTCCTTGAAATAAGCAGATCCTTCCTTTTGCACTTCACTACGAATAGCAACAACAATGATTAACATAGCATGTGTGAAGCACATTACATTTTGTTTGACAATACAAATCATACCCAAATAAACATAACTAATTGCAGTAAAAGAGCTTCCCTGCTTTCAACATAGCACGCACACTTCTATCAAACCACAAACCTGAACAATCAAATCAATCAAGTATGGAAAACAGGCAATAATGAAACACATACTTTTTTCTTTTATCATTAATAGAACACATGCTTTTTCTTTGATCAATAATAGAACACGTGCTTCAAACAAGGCATGCATTCCACAAATAAAACAACCAGCAGCAACCAGAACAATGTCATAGACTGATGCAAATGACCAAAATCAGTTAACCACTGTCATATAGACAGACAGCTAGCTTTACTGACACCCTAGAAAAATGGGCCGAACCTGCCCTTAACCGGGGTCAAATTCAGTGCAGGTGTGTCCAGAAAACTCCTAGTCCCAGTTAAATTCCTGTAGGAATTAAATCAAGCTTCGGAGCTAAAATCTGGCAAGAGAAAACGCTACTAGTACAAGTTAAATTCCCGCAGGACTTAAAGCAGGTTTCGGAGGTTAAATAGAGCAACAAAAGATGTCCTGGATCTGGAGGTAGGAGAGGAGCTCGCTTTCTTCAAAGTGCTTAACACCCCCAACTTGGTTACTAACCCAGATGCAAACGGTATCCGGCGAGAAGATGAATAGCCATTCAATAAATTGTCAGTTTACTATATTCATTCATCTCCTATTGTAATCAGAATAACACTCCCAGGATACAACCAAATCAGGAAGAAATTCGTGAATCTCTGAGTTGCACACTCAAAGACTCCCTCAAAACCACAGCAAAATCAAACTGATATGTTCTTAACTTTCACCAAAATATTTCAACAAACTGTTTCAAAAATAATCAGGCTTTTCTGAGCCGCAAAGGCTTCTATGAATTTAAAAGAAGATTCTCCCTTAAGAGTACAAGGTAATGCAACAAGCTCTATGATGGGTGAAAAGACTTCATAAAAACATGGCATGCCCATCATAAGTCACTATAGAATGTTGGCATCACCAAAAGTAAAAATTGAAAATGCACTTAGAGAGAGAGAGAGAGGAGGTACTCTCTCCTCTAGAATGAAATGAACTTATATAAAGAGAAGTGTATGATGGGTCATGGTTATAATGTACCACATCATCATACCAAAAATGACTCATGTGATGTCAACACGTCACAACCATGTGTCAATTAACAAGTGAATTTAAAAAAGAGAGGGAAACGATGGCACCACTTGTGGTCCAAACACAAAGAAGTAAAACAGGGAAACTCCTAAGAGTTAACCGACTAAAGAGTGAAAAAGATTAGAAAAACAAATATGGTCCCTAAGTACCACCCTTAGCAAAGTGGTCCTACAGAAAAGAAAAAGAGTTAGAAAAGGAATGTCTGTTTTGAAACAAAAACATAGATTGACATAACAATCCCGCACCTGCTTCAAAACAAAAAGACCAAAAAATATATTAGGAAAGAGAATTCATAAGGGAAGGTGTCCTACAAACTTGAACCTTCACATAGTGTTATACATAATGCTTAGCAGGAAAGTGAGTGGACGAACATTGAACTATGTCCATTATTGATAAGCCTCCCACTTATGCATTTTCTTTCAAAATGTTGTGATTTAAAAAAAAAAGAAAGGCTTGTGCATTTAAGGCCCTGCGCTTTTCCTGGTTTTCATGAGCGCTCTATGAAATGCCCAGTTTCCATAGTAAGCGGCCTCCACTTCCGCACTCATATAGGTGAGTCCATGGAAGATGTTCTGCAGTACAACATCCCAACCTAGGTCTTACATCATCTAGAAAAATGGAATCATTAAGAGTAGAACTCAACCTCTCCTTTCATTGCAGTCAATTATACCATACAACAAGGATGAGGTAGAAATTTATTAATTTTATTAAATAAAATTTCCGTACAAACATGCATAAAACATCTCACGAGTGACATGTTTTTCCCTTTGAATCTTAGACTTAGGATCTCCTTGTCCTTAGGTAGGGTCCCCATCACTCTGTGGCATAATACAAATAAGCTTCAATCCCATCCCTCTAGTTGTATTGCAGACTTGGTCCCTTGCAAGGCCTTTAGTAAGTAGATCCGTCAAGTTCTGGTTTGAGGGAACATGGAGTACTAATATAACTCCATCTTCCAACAGTAACTATGCCTCAAACGAATATATATGAATTTTCCAGGATAAATTTTACTTTTCCCTCGGTATACTGCAGCTTAACAGTCACTTCAAATTAAAACTGCAGGCATAAGCCTAGAGAGAAGTGGTACATCTACCAACAAGAACAAGTTCCTTAGCCACTCAGCCTCTTTACTAGCAACTTCCCAGGCTATTAACTCCAATTCCATTATAGATTTGGAGATACAAGTTTGCTTCTTGAAACCCTAAGCAACAACAACCCCACCATAGGTGAAGATCCATCTGCCAGTTGACATGGATTCTTCAGAATCTGTAATCTAGTTTGCATCGTTGTACCCTTCCAATACCTTGGGTTCACCCACATAATGTAGGTCATAGTCAATGGTTCTTTTGAGATACCTCAGGACTCTATAGACTGCATTCCAATGCTCTTGACCTGGGTTACTGGTATGTCTACTCAGTTTACCCACAACAAAGGCTATATCAGGTCATGATATTGCATATATTATACATCCAATGGCTCTTGCATAGTCCAATTGGGAAACATGACCTTCATGATTCATTCTGAGTTTAATATGAGCATCATAAGGGGTCGAAATTGGCTTGGAATGAAAGTGACCAAATCTTTTGAGCCTTTCTTTATATAGTGGCTATGGGTTAAAACACACCCAGTCGAATTCTTAACTATTTTAATTCAAAGAATCATATCAGCTTGGTCCATGTCTTTCATATTTTTTTTTTGAGGTAAAGGTTAACTATTGTATTAAGAGAAAAACCTTGGGTTAAAGAAAAAGCAGATTTGCTCATATTGGGTGCTCGGAGTACAAACAAAAACCTTGCAGAAAGAGCAAACTGTGTTATAGAAAGAGCATATTTGTCCAAGGGAGAGGGAGATAAAGAGAGACATTCATATATAAAAAACGTTTCTAAGAACACAGCAAAGTAAAATAACAATTGAAACCTACGAACTTGAAGCTTTACCTTCCGAAGAAAGAAATTAGTGGGACAGAGAAAATTGGTGATGCCATCCTTTTGCTCAGGTAGTACCAGGATAGCAGCGCGAAGCGTGATACGGGTTCCGCGATAATCCTGAGCCAATTATTTGGGTGTTGTAGACCTGTAGAGAGTTTTTCATCTTGCTTACTCAAGGTAGAGAATTGAGGGAGGAGATTTGAATTTCGGGAGGGGGGGGGGGGCAGAGGGAGAGGGAGGAAAGAGCAAAATAAAGAGAGATCATCTAAAATAAAATTACTAAAGGTATTAAATAGATCCCAAAAAGGGGAGAAGCATGGAGGAAAAGGGGATGAAATAGACTGAAGCAAAAATGTTGAGCTACTAGAGGGTAGCCCTGAGAGGGAAGAGGTTTAGGGGGGTAGAGTTAGAAAGAAATTGGCTTAGGAGAAACATAATCTCTTTTTTCTTTTTCTTTTTTGCTTGTTTTTTCCTTTTTTCCTTTATTTTTTCTTTTTTTTCCCTTTTCTTTTCTTTCATATTAAATTCAAAAGATAATAAGTTCTTAGTGTCCTCAATGCATGCAGCATTGC